TACTCGGTTTTACAGTCGACGATGAAAAAGGCGGTCATGTGATTACGGCCGGCGATGTTTATCGCTAAAGGAAGCATTCTTTTGGTCTGAGACTTGTCACCGACAAAACTACTCATGGTTATTCCTGAAGGAATGAGTTCGTCGGTGGATCGTCGTAAGGCCTTCATGATAGATACATGCATGATATTGACTGTTGCTCCGCAATCGACAAAAATCTTGGAGATTGGGTAGCCTTCAATATAGGCCGTGACATACAACGGTTTTAAATGTTGAAGATTAGTCGAGGAGGAACGGGGAAACAAGATGTCCAAGGCTGTTTTAAGTTTATCCTCGCCATTAGTTAGTTCGTCCTCAAGAGTAGTGACAAAATCAACTTGTGATGCCTCCTCGGTGACAACATCGCCGTCTAAGGAACTTGGTTGGTGCGTAGTCAGTTGAAATTCGGCGGGAAGAACATAAACCATGCTGATTTCCATATTTTCAAGGACTGAAGAGCCCATTGGATCCTGGTCGTCATCTTTCGGAGTGGGGAGGACTAAATCATTGTGTGTTGGAGCATTTGCGACCAATTCACTGTGTGTCTCAACACAGTCAGGCGCTTGAGTCACACAAGCCGACACTGTGTCCTGGTGACTGTTGTCTTTGGACTTGCATATGTCTGGCGTCGGATTTTGTTCCTGCCGTATTTGGCGAGCTCGTTCCTCATAGGCGATCCGGGCATTCCTGGTGTCCAGGTAAGCGTCCAGACGTGTCACCCGTTTTATCTCATCGGCTGTTAAACCGAACAAGGAGACAGCCGAAAAGACTTCGAAGTGATATCGAAGGTGTTGAAGGTCTTCGAAAGAAAAAGGAAACTCGGCTATGTCAATGTCCATGTATGGATCGACCTCGAAGCCGAGAACCTTAGCCTCTCGAATGTGCTGGAATCTAGCTTTTATCATCGGATCGGTGGTTTTTTGGATGATCTGCTCAACATCAGGGCAAGTTAATGCCAGGTCAAGAGCTTCTTGGCAGGCCTTGGCAACCCATATAAATCATTGGCGGAATATTTCTTGTGAAATTCTTTCATATATTCTAATGATTCACCGAGGAATGGGGGATGCAAATTCTACCGAACTTTGATTAGAGGTTCTTTTGACGGTAATGGGGGTAGTTGGCTTTCGGCCTCTTTCTTGAATTGCTCGAAACGAGCTTTCATTTCCCCGGGCTGAAGAAGAAGTTTGATATGCATCTCGGCTGCTTCAATGGTAGTTTCGAAGTCTCGATTGGTTTCCTTTTGCCTTTTTAGTTCAGCCATGATTGTTGGGGTTGGACGATCATCTCCACTCCCTGCTGTCCCTTTCGGCTGCCATTTAGTGGCCGAAACAGGCTGGGCTACTTGCCGTCGAGCCAAGCAATCTATTCGCTGACGTCGACGTTTCTGAGACTTGGACAGCAAGGTATACATACCAGTGGGAGAATTATAGCTATACCAACGTTGGTCGCGTGGTTCAGGCGGCTTGAAGCTTTTTTGATTCGCTGATGAACTTAAGCTATTGGAGTTACGTGAATAATACTCCTCGTTATAAAATGGTGCGTCGAAATCAAGGCGCCGTCTGACCGAGGTAGAGCCATCCGTCTGTTGCTTAGGACCGAGCCTTTCGAATACTTTGACGCATTGGCCTTCACTCGGTTTCTTTGAAGGTGCTACCGAGATCGCCGATTGTTGCCAAGGCGTCGACGTCTGAGGCAATTTCTCCTTGGGCTCGATTAAAATAACGCGTGCTTTACAATTACTGCACAAGACTACCGGCCCGCCATTTTCCTCATCGTTGGAGTCTGACATGGATTGAACTATTGCTGGTCCTGAGAATTCGGTAGGCAATGCATTGGAAAATAGATCGATCTTGAGTCGAGGCTGAGAATTTTTCTTGAGGATGTGTTGCACTGGGGCAAGCTCGATCTTCTCTTTCCCTTTGCTTTTGGGCAAACGGGCATCTACCATGCCAACTGTTGCCGAAAGGAATGGGTCCGTATCGACCGTCATGTGTTTTTCAGGAAATTTCAACTTGCCTTTGTCAATCCAGCTCTGGATATCATCACAAAATATGACACAATTGTTTGTGGCATGCTTGGTCGAGTTATGATATTTACAATATGTCTTTTCTTTAAGCTCTTCGGCCGTGGGAATGTTATGCCCTGGCCGAAGTTTGATGATCGTTGTCGATAGCAATTGATCAAAAATTACTTCGGCCTTTGTAATATCAAAGGTGTAAACTTTTGAAGTTTTCGCTGTCCCTTCCGTCGCTGAGCGAATTTTGGCATCCTTGGAATTAATTTGAGTCAACGCCTTACAAATGTATGGTTTATCAATTACTATCTCGGCCGCGTCCACGCTGACGTACTGAGACTCTTCGCCTTCAGTCGAAGCATAACTTACCGTGGGATTTTTGTAAATCATCCATCGAGATAGGAATTTCGAGATCTTCTCCTCTCGGAGCAAATAGTCATATTGCTCGACATGCTGGGCTAATTCATACATTTCTCGAAAGTTTTCCCCCAAGAAATTCTTTTTGTATTCCACATCGACGCCGTTCAGAACAAGTCTGACAAATTCGACTTCGGGTAAAGGCACTCGGCACCAATTCCTGGTTGATTTGAATCTGGTAAGATAATCCATTGGTGACTCATCAGATGCTTGAGCCATCCTCGCTAATGAAGAAACTGACATTTCTATCCCTGGCCGATAAAACTGCTCGTGAAATTTCTCGACCAACTCTTCCCAGCTTTGGACGGAATTAGGAGAGAGGTTGATATACCAGGCAAATCCTGAGCCGGTCAATGAAAAGTTGAACAGCAGTAGCTTATGAAAGTCACTATTGACATCTCCGCATTGCGCGGTGAAACGAGCCACATGTTCCAACGAAGACAGGGACGACTCACCAGCAAAAAGGCTAAAATCTGGGATTTTGAAACCTTTAGGGTATTCGAATGTTTCCACATAAGCTGGATACGGATGGATAAATTTAGGGAACTTCGGCCCTTTTTTCATGGCCGAATCGATCATCCGCTGAACCTCGGTCACATCAACGGGTGTTGCTTCTACTCTCTGGTCGGATCCGTCTGACCTACTATTTGATCCTCCCTTTTTTTCATGTCAATTGCTTTGAGCCGAGAAGGGATTGACTCGACCTGTACAATTGGTAACATATTATTTCTTGGTGGCAAGTGCTGGGAAAGATCGAAAGACATGTCGTCGCTAACCTTACTAACCAGTATTTCGAGCAATCTGGTTTGTGTCTCACTGGTACTGCGTATCACATCATGCAGTTTATCGATTCCTCGACTAAGCGTCTGTTCAACCGTTCGAGACTGCTCGTCAAGTCGTTTTCGAAGAAACGATCTTGTTGGTGGATCAGAACCTTTACCACCATCCTCGTCACATTCCTCCACTATCCCTTCATGGAGAACGCAGGTGTTTGTGTTAGGGATTTCTAGACCGCGAAGTAGACTGCCGAGATTAACTTCCTTTTCTCGGTGAGTCGCGCTTGTGGACTCAGGTGTCACGGCGTTAAGGGGATTATGCGCTTGTGACACATTTTGTCTTATGTTCTGAATTGGCAAATCGGTTGTTGATTTTCCCATAGCTGTTTTCTTTTTTACCGATCGCGTTTCAATTGGCATGAACTTCGTAGTTTAGCACTGGGTCCCACTAGGCGTGCCAAAATGTTGACCCTAAAAACTACCAAGCCTACGTGGCGCGCAGGCCGAGTAATCAATAAGCTAACTACATCCTTCGGTGAATGCGGGGCGTGCCAACTCGTCGGCCTAGCTCGACCGAGGAGTAAATTTGTTGATGTTGCGTTGGGTGCGCGGCTGACTTCTGCGTCTTACGATTGCGACCGAGGAAGGAACATGTCTCGGCCTCTTGGGTTCTCGAACCTGAAGACAAGGTTACTATTCTTACGAAGTTCACGAATCGTCGTCGTCGAATTCGGTCACAGTGATGTTATTCGTCAGAGTAAACTCACGCCGAATTGACACCAAAGTGTAATGGCACGAATACCAAAGCGAATATAAGTCTTAATAGTGAAAGTGGTTCGGCCGTCTGAATGCTGAACTCTAAATCCCACTTGAGAGTATCTAATCATAAAATAACTCGGCGTGCAATGCGCCGACCTCAGTAAACTGCAACACCTTACTTCGCCGAGAAGGCTAATGAGATGACCTCAATCAATAAGGATTCGGAAATCGTTCTCGACCGAGACTTGGATAGGTAACCAACCGTCCTCGCCGCAGTGTTGTTGATGCCAACGGAAGATGTTGCGAGCGCGGCCAATTCTACGGTGACAGAGCTATCTATGCCAACTTAAGATATCACCGGTTGCTTTCATAGTGTTGTTGATGCCAACGGAAGATGTATCCGCGAAAAAAGAAAATAAAAAATCTCAGAGTTGTTGAGAGAGTTTGCGCAGGGCAGTTGTGTGTTGAATTGGAGATGGCTTGAATGATGCACAGCCTCCTCTATTTATAGCACTGTATACCTTTAAAGTCGAGTTAGAACCCTACTCGGATTAGGTCTTCTTCTCCTGATCAAACACCAACTCGACCAGTCCTATTTTCACTATAATTGTGAACCTAGTCCTTTATTGAGACAGATTCACTTCCGGGTTATTAATCTTGCCGAGACTCCTTATTGCGCCAGGACTCGACTCGTCTTGCAGCATGACCTAACCGGGCTAGGTTTGGAAGCCCATGAACTAAACGATCCATGGTACCCTGGTCCCAAGGCCTTCCGGGCTGAGAATGATTCTATACTCTGCCCAAACTAATATTTTGGGCCCAAACAGTAAGATAATTTACTAAATAGAGGAAATTATGTATATGAGTTGAAACTTACTAGGTGTTGACAATTCTTTTGGTGTTTCCTTGAGTTTGATCATCGACTCCAAACATTCTTGACATACCAAAGTCTGATATTTTTTTATTCATATTGTCATCTAACATGATGTTACTCGCTTTTAGATCACGATGTATAACTCTATGCCTTGAATCTTCATAAAATAAAATAAAATGTCGTACCCAGTGCACAAGGCTCCCGCTTTACGCAGGGTCTGGGAGAGGTGAATGTCGGCTAGCCTTACCCCCATTTATGGAGAGGCTGCTCCCAAGTCTCGAACCCGAGACCTACCGCTCATGGGCGAAGGCACTTGCCATCGCACCAAGTGCGACCTCTTATGCCTTGAATCTTCATGAAGATATAAAATTCCTAGAGTGATTCCTCCTATTATCATGCATCGGCTTGACCAATCCAGTTGCTCACGTTTTTTGGATTCTATATACTCACTTCAATTTATTAAATATATACAATAATATCGTATCTATGTTCGAAATTACTAATTTTTTTCAGAATGATGTACTCTTACCAAAAAGAAAATAATCAAGACTTTTGTTTGGCACATATTCATAAACAAGTAGGGTTTCCTCTCCTTCCAAACAAAATCCCAGAAGCCTAACAAGATTTCTATGTTGAAGTTTGGCTACCAATGCAATCTCGTTCTTAAATTCTTGGACGCCATGTCTAGAGCTTTTTGACAACCTCTTCACTACAATTTCTTGTTCATTAGCAAGTGTTCCCTGACATATGAGGCATTTTATCCAATCAATTTCGTTAACATGTATCTTATATATGTTTAGAATAGTACAAGTTGAACCCGAGATTCTAAGAATTGAGCACTGTATATTAAGAATCAATAATTTCAAAGACAAAATAAGGGAAGATATATGTTCGCATTTTCAATTTTCATACCTTGAAAACTACACCAAATCCGCCTTCACCTAGCTTGTTATTATCGGAAAACTTGTTTGTGGCGGTTTCAATAGCTCCCAAGTCGAATTGCAAGGACTCAACAGTCTTTGTATCATCCTTAGCTAAGACGGTCAGTTTCAAAATATTACATGTAATGGACCAGAAAAACATAGTGAGCAAATGATAACCATGCACACTCATCGAATTGAATAAATCAAACGAAAACTATTTCATGATAAACTAATGTTACAGTTTTCAGGAAACTAAATTGGCAAAAGTTCCAACATGAGATGAGATAGTGTGACAATAAGCGTTGCACTTACCTTCAACTTCAAGTTGTACCTCTCGTTTCTTGACTCTCGAGTAAACGCATATGCTGCTGATAATGGTAACAAAAGCAACCAAAACCACGACCACCACGATGATGATAATTACTTTTGTGTTACTCGTCTGTGCTGCTGGAACCGGAGGTGGAATATTTGCTGGCGAGACGAAAAGTTCACGACACCATAAATTGGAATTGTTATTGAATTAAAATTAATATCTTTTTGGGGGCTAGTGTACACCTTTGGGCCCCTCCCTGTTGGAGGCTGGCGGCGGTGGGGCGGGGGAGTATAAGGGGTAAACTTCAAACCTAAGATTGCAACTGGGATATAGAAGTCGTCCCCCAGCGTTTCTTCTACCAATTTGTGTTGCAACTCCCAGAAGACACCAATTGCAATCTCCAGAGGACAGGTCCTGTGTGCACTGCCCAAGTCCGTACAACTTAATGAAAATCCAGAGAGACGAAGCTCTGGGTTTGTTGGGGAGATGATCGAAGCCGATAATTTTGAAAATCCAGAGAGACGAAGTTCCGAGTTACAGAAATGGAGGCCAGGTTTGTATGGTTTTGGTTTTGGTTTTGGGAAGCAGGAGTCGATGCTATTGCAGAGATCGGCTCAGTTTTGGGTTCTGGCTGCTTAAGGTTTGAGAAAGGAGAAATGAAAGCCAAATGGGTCTGTTTCTGTCCTTCTCTCCCATCCCTCTCAATCTCTCAATCACCGACAGCTACCCATTAATTTAGCTTCTAGTGGCAATTTAGACACCTTAATCACGACACCAACCCTTTGATTTGAGGAGAAAAAATGGAATTGGATCCTCTCCAAGGCAAATCCTCGGGATCCTTCTGATCCAACGGTTACAAATAGAAAGCCTCCTTTAAACTTATAATAATTGTAGTCGTTAGATCAAAATTCAACGACTCGTGTTATTGGATCAGGAGGATCCCAAGACTTTGCCTCGGAGAGGATCCAATTCCAGAAAAAATCGACCCTAACCCCCTTTTTGGGCAGCCTAACTCCTCCCTCTCCCTTCCCCTCCCTGCCATCCCACCCCTATCTCCCTCTCCTTGTCTCTGCAGCCCATGTTTTTGGCAATAGCAAAAATGTAAATAATTTAAAATCGAGAGCCCATCTCAGAACAAACATAAATAGACTGGGAAAACCGTAAATATATCGAAGTCTGGTCAGAGACAAAATTACCCTCCTAACTTTTCATAATTACCCTCTAAACCCAAGCACATATCTGGTAGCAGTGGTGTAAATAAAGCAAAATCGAGTGTCAATCATTTGACTAAGCTACAGTCAAATGCCTCTTTAATTTTAGAAAGGAAAACTAATGAAAACACTTGAAAGCTTTGAGTTTTAACGATAAGTACAAAATAAAGGGTAAAGTGAATAGTATCGAGATTGACTTTTTAGTGTAAAAATATGGTTTTTCGTTAAAGTGAACAGTATCGCGGGTTTTTCGTTAAAACTCCCATTTTAGAATAGATAATGCCGTTATCGTTTAATAAGTGCTTGCAACTTGTTCAAAAGGTGCACTATTATGTCCAATGACCAATTATTTAGTGGTGAATTGGTTAAAAAAAAATAAAAAATAAAAAGTGATCTAGAGAGATCAAATTTTTAAACTTTTTTTTTTTTAAATTAAATGATATGGTTGTCAATAATTAAATTACATTAATTAATGTACTTATTTTTTAATTGATAGCACGTCTTTTAATTTAAAATTTTAGTTGTCCTAATATTATCTTTGATTAAAGAGAGTTTTAACGAAACACTTCCGGTATTATTCACTTTTAACGAAAAACCATATTTTTACTTTTCCATGGTACTATTCACTACACCTTTATTTATTATTTTTCGTTAGTTTTCCTTTGATTAAACCCACCCGAATTGCCAACTTTTATTGTTTGCTGTGTCATATTAAATGTGAGTTGGTGTTGAAGCTATCTCAATGGTTCATTGTCTTTATCATCAAATTCATAGTAAAAAAAATACAAGGGGAGAGATAGAAAAATATAAAATAGTAGTAGTTTGAAGCAAAGTAAAATGTAATGGGGACGGGAGTGGTAAGAGTGTGACGCCAAACTCGCCAGTTATGTATGGGGAATTCAGCTTGGTGTGAATTTTTCTGAGGATTATTTAGTTGGCAATGATCCATGTTAGTGGGCCAAGAGAATCCCAAGGCTTCGCCTCGAAGATGATCCAATTCCAGAAAAAAATCGACCCTAACCCCCTTTTTGGGCAAGCCTAACTCCTCCCTCTCCCTTCCCCTCCCTGCCATCTGTAACATCCCACATCGTCCAGGGGAGTGATCCTTAAATGTATATTCTCATCCCTACCTAACACGAGGCCTTTTGGGAGCTCGCTGGCTTCGGGTTCCGTAGGAACTCCAAAGTTAAGCGAGAAGGAGGCCAGAGCACTCCCATGATGGGTGACCCACTGGGAAGTTGCTCGTGAGTTCCCAGAAACAAAATCGTGAGGGAATGGTAAGCCCAAAGCGGACAATATCGTGCTACGGTGGTGGAGCGAGCCCGAGATGTGGTGGACCCGGGCCGGGATATGATAATTTATTGTGGCATCCCACATCGCCCAGGGGAGTGATCCTTAAATGTATATTCTCATCCCTACCTAGCACGAGGCCTTTTGGGAGCTCACTGGCTTCGGGTTCCATAGGAACTCCGAAGTTAAGCGAGAAGGAGGCCAGAGCATTCCCAGGATGGGTGACCCACCGGGAAGTTGCTCGTGAGTTCCCAAAAACAAAACCGTGAGGGAATGGTAAGCCCAAAGCGGACAATATCGTGCTACGGTGGTAAAGCGGGCCCGGGATGTGGTGGACCCAGGCCGGGATGTGAGTGGTAGATTGTAGATTGAAACACCTCAACCCCATTTTTATTTAAAAAAAATTTTAAAGCCTTAATTGGTGAGCCCGTGGGGCCCACCTTGTTTTATTTTTTTTTATGTTTTCCGGTCTCTCTATCTCCTCTCTCAGTTCTTTCTTCTCCCTCACCTCTCCCACAACTCTCTCTCCCTCACTCTCTCTCAGCACTCTCTATCTCAGCCCCTCCGAGGGTTTTTCTTACCAACAAACATCACCATAACAACATCAACATCTCCATTAGCACCCTAGTGAGCTTAGAATCGAAGAAAGAACACCCTAAACCCTTCTCTTCCTTTCGGCCGGTACTGTTCATCATCTTCTCCGTCGAGCTTTGTATCGTTCCGATGTTGGTAAGCTTCTAGAAACCCTTAGGTTGTGCTTTAGGGCTATATCGAAGCTTGTTTTAAGTACGTTTGAATCACAGAAAATAGCTCAGGAAAGCTTTTCCAAATTTTCCGGCCAGCAACGCCACTTTCGAGGAAATTTCCGGCCAAAATACTGCGAGTTGGCCGGCGTGCAAGGTATCAATCTCTTCGTCTCGCTGAGAACTACAACTTTCCTTTTTGTTTCACTCAATTGCGTTGAGTATTGAAGACGTTATACTCATTTGAATCTTACCCAGTTTCCAGGCGACCTCCGAGAATTTCAAGGAATTTTTCGGCCAAACCACGGCGAGTTAGACGTCGTGTGAGGTACCATTCTCTTCGTCTCTTCGAGGGCTACAATTTTCGTTCTTGTTTCACTTGATTTTGTTAAGTTTTGACAAATTTATGACCATTTAAAGGTTGTGCACTTTCTGGCCGAATTTCCGGCCTTCTTCATCCTTGGGTCCGGCCACCCAAAAAATCCCAAGGCCTTTGGGCCTTTCCTGCCGAGCCCAACTCAAACCCATTTCTCTTTTTATTTTGTTTAAGCCTTTGGGCCTAAAACCCTCCAACCTTTTTTATTTTCTGTTTTATTTATTTTTGGTTTAAAAAGTCATTGGGCCTTATTTGTTAAAACCCTAAACCCTTTTAGTTTAAAAACCTAAACCTAAACCCTAATCCGGATTTCAAGCTTAAAACCCGTTAGACCTAATTTGACCGTTGACCCCCAGTCAACGTTGACTTTAGGGTTGACTTTTCGGGTTTTCGTCCGGGACCCCTAGGGTAATTCGACGTTCTGAATCCGTTTCCAATGTCCGTTTTCCCAAATTCAATTGCTATTATATAGTTTCATTTATTGGACTCTTTATGTGCTTAGAGGCAATTATTGTGACGTTTCCGTCTTCACTAGTGGCGCAGCTTTTGGCAACTAAGTACTGTGAGTGGACCCCTTCTAAAATTACATGATTTTATAGTTTAATTGCATAAATGAATAGCATGCCTTACGAGTTTATGATTTGATTTATGTGAAGCCTGTTTATTAAATATATTGATTTTCGTCTCGTGTTTTTTGTGAGGAATCAATTGTTGGCCTATATTGAGCTATATTTTGATATATCGTATTTTTTATAAAAACTATGATCTGGTAGACTATCCGATGGATGACGATAGGATGCTAGAACATGTTTTTGAAACCCCTCTTTATAGTATAGACGATGGATGACTTTATAATATGAAGTGGTTATTTATGAGAGGCGTAACTATTTGTGTGTACCTAGTAGACACTAAGCCACTTGGGGCGAGGATCTGGTGTTAGCATTTAGGCCGGGAGAAATAATCCTAGCTATGGGCTGAGGGACATGGAGCAGGCATTGGGCCGGGAGTTGGTAATCTCTGGCTACGGGCGCAGAGACCACAGAGCAGGCATTGGGCCGAGAGTTATATTTATTCAGTGATCTTTCTAGCAGCACACCGCGCTTACAAGACGATCTATGAGACGTTTACTGTTTTGATTTCTGCGATGATATTCCGCGATATGACTTTTGAGATATTTTTGGCATGCTAGAATTTTTATTAAATCCATCACTTATTATGCTAGTTTTCATTATATATAAATTGTGGGGGTTAGTACCT